TCAGTTGGTCAAAATATTTATAGGCCTGCAAAACACTGCATGGATCTTTATATGGAAGCTATCTATAGAAAGTGATGAAGTTTGTGCCTGGTTAAAGACCCTTGCATATTCCATACTAGGCAAGTATGCTCCAGGAACATTTTGAAGCTACAGCTATTTTTCTTTGGGTCTCCTCACATCCTGTTCATGTCAGGTTCCTAGTTTGGAAATACCAGAAACTGTTCCACTTCCATCCCTAAGGTATTCCACACTGTATTTTTGGAAAGTTTAGCAAAATAATAATCAAGTTATATGTTGCAACTGGAGATCCCCACCTGTTGAATGAACTCATTTTATGTCAATTCCACAGCATTTTGGAAACTGCAGTTCTACAAACCGAGTTTATCTTTGGAAAAGTAGGAAAATATCACTGGTCTTTTAAAGTAAAGCCATATGTTTACTTAAATATTAAGAATATGGAGGTCATTGTTAATGCCTATTCCTAGGGTAGGCCTCTTTTGGTTTGGGTGGAGATTAGCACCTTGTAATGCTGAGATTATAGGGCAGCTTTGAGGCTTTACTGCAAATCCAAGGAAATTACCTTTCTTCAAATACCTACTGTGACCTTCCATTCCAATAGGCAAAGTTACTCATTAATTCATAAAGTTAATTCACAGCATTTAACTGCATTGTATTCTGCAAGAATCAAGATGGAATTTAAAAAATGGAAGTTCTTATCTGCAACTATAGCAAAATTATTGCCAATTAAACAGTACTGTCCCACCCAGCAGCTCTCAAGGTTTATAGACATGGCCAACCATATCATCAGACAATCATGGAAATGGGTCAGTCTGGAACTGACCTCAAATGCAGCAGCACAACATAATGTAATGAATCTAAGGCTACAATTAGGAATGGAATTTGGAAAAATTAGGAGACTTTGAATATAAATATCATGACCTTATCTACCTATCTGATCCTGAATCACAAGCTATCCATAATAATTATCCCAGTCTTCCTTGATGTCAGCCTTAATTGGCTTATTGGCCTCATTCACATTCAATCTCCTATTATGGTCAGGCTTCAAGAAGTCACTGACCTTACCAGAATAGGTTAGATGAAAATGAGAACTAAATCTGTGTATCATTAGCTTTCTGATGGCATATAATTTCATACTGGACAATTTTGGAGGTCCTGGGAAAATGACTCATTAGCCATCATTACTTTCTAGGGACTCCAAGCCAAGAACAAACAAAAGCACTTCAGAATATCCTCATGTTTCAACAGCATGAAGCTGCTAACTAAAGTGTCTTTCCCCAAGAAGCTCAAGGCAGCATACAGTCTTCCACCCTATATCACCTTACCACAATGATATAAGGTAGGTTAGGGTCCATGGTCAGCCAGTATGCCTCACGGCTAAGCTGGGTTGAATTGGGGTAATTGATATTTTAATGCAATAATTTAATCACCACACTACATGTGAAGTGTATGTCTATAGATGCAAACACATCTGTGAGCTTGTAGGGCATATAAATGAGGGCATCACCACCTGGAGATTTTATTCAGGTCACATCTACACTCATTTAATATACCCCATTGCTATCAGACACAGGTGTGGCCAGCCCATATAGCACTTGTAGCCAGCCCAAACACCCTGTCCATGTGGCAGAGGTATAGAATTGTGGGCTGTCCATTGGGGGCACAGTCCAAGGGAAGAAGCGACCCATACTGCCTTCAACTCCATGCTCCTGTACGTGCCAGTGTACCAAACTAGGAACATGAAAAGCTTTTAAGTGTGTTTGCCCTGTATCTCAGTCTATGCACAAATGTTTATTTATAAATGAAAACACATGGAAAATAAATGCACCATGACTTTTGCTACAGCTTTCCCTGTTTGCCCCACTCCATATCCTATCACAGGGAGCACAAACTGCTTTTTAACAGGCTTCCCTAATGCAGTGTCCTCCCTGATGTGTTGCACTACAGTTTCCAGCATCACCAGCCAGCACATGTTGCCATCTACTATTGCTTCAGAACATAAACCAACTGCATCTAATGAGACTGAATTTTGTTTACCATGGTATCTCTGGTCTAATAATCAGAAGCTCATGCCAGTTAATAAACCAAAGAGAAAAAAAAAGGAAGAGAGATATTCAAGAAACTACATTCCTTCAGGTGAGCAAGTTTAATGCTTAGTTTCTTTTAACTTCAAAGGAAAACTGTTCATAAAAGAAAGGGCAGGGCCATTGACTCCTCCATGGTCTCCCTAGCATTCAAGATTTCTATTCACTCTGAGAGATCTAGGGTTAATACCCCTGTAGTTGACAGGCACTAAGCCGGGGCCTTGCACAAGCTTTAGATGTAAAAACAATCAGCCATCTACTGATGCCATTACTCCCCCAGACTATAGAGTGTGCAGAAATTCCTGCCATTCCACAGAGGGTGAGGGGACTTGGACGGGGTGACCTCCTTTTGTTCAGCTCCAGCTCTGCTCAACCAAGGAATAGCTTCCGAATGATTTGTGAGTTCCATCTATGAAATGCTTTGTAGAGAATAGAGGAGAGAGACTTGGGAGTGTCAGTAGATTGCTGAGTTATGTCTCTTTCAAAGGAAAATTATATAGCAGGTACAGGAGAAAGGAAGAGAAACAAGAAATTGCAGGAGTGAAACCAGATTGGCAACTGAGTGATTAGCATTTCTTTTGATGCCATTATGCTCCCATGCAATTGTAATGGGGCCTATACAAAACCCAGTTAGTTAAAAGAAAAACTAGACATATACTATAGCTAAAACTTCAGGTTTACTTTCAGCATGATGGTATGAAAAGAAAACTTTTCAGTTACAGCAAAAAAAAAAAAAAAAAAAAAAAACCAAACTGATACAGGATTTTAAAAGACCATTCTGGGCTATCCCCCTGAACTGAAGCAAAATCTACCCCACTCTTAACATTCTTGGCAGATTAACCATATAATAGACTACAGGCTATGATCAAGGCAAATTATAGTATGTCATAGACAACAGGAGGAACTGAGGTGTGCCAAAGCCAGAGTCTCTTTAAGGTGGGAAGCCAATTTAGTGAGAGAGACTCTGATTACTAACATAGAGAAGCCATATCACACAATATTTAGCAAGCCAAATACTCTTTAGGAGAACGGTTTCTGGACTGCTGTTTGAATTTTCTCTGTGACTAAACTATTTTAGAAAGATGATTATATGCTATTGTACACTGGAAATATTGCTGCCATCTGCTGGTAGGTTAAAAAAAGTGTTTCAAAGAGTCCCCAAATGAATGCTGTATGGACCAGAATCCCAAGTTCCTAAAGAACTAGAGTTATCAGACAGGAGCTCAGTAAAGTACTATATGTGAGGACCAAGGACTATGGATTTATAACATAGGCCTCCTCCCACACACAAGCTACAGTCTCATCCCATACATATATTTGGGTCATGAAAGGAAAAAATCTGCTCTAATTCTACATTTACTGCATTTCTAAAATTACGCCACAGTCCACATGGGGCTTTACTACTTAGCTCTATCCCTATGCTGTTTTTGTTTAATATGACATTGAGCCATAGCCTACAGAGCATGCATCTACCAACATAGATTTTTAGTTTATTTTAAATATTCATACCCTGCCGTATACACAAAAGTATCTCAGGGCGGCTTACAAAAATAAAAAATATAATTTAACAGGTTAACAATACTTAAATATACACATATGGTTGGCACTGACAGATGCATTAGTCTGTCAGTTTTGTTTTTAAATGGACCACCATGCATCTAAACATTTACTAAACAGAACCATTATTTTAAAGCTCTATTTTTCTTGCTTTCTTTCACTGCACCATCATGAATCATCTCCTCTAGTCAACTAAAATTGCAAAATCACTTAGGCAAAATAACTCATGATTGTCAGCAGCCAGGACATGGATAGCAGGAGACAAGAAAGGCACCAAGACTAGGGAAACAGTCAGGCAAGCCAAAGTCCAGGGTCAAAAAGCAAGTTTATTGGTAAGTTCAAGTTGTAGTAACAAAACAGGTCAGGGTCAGGAGCCAGAAGTATGTATCAGGTCAGAAGAAGGATGTGCTCATGAACAAGCCAAGGGTTGAGAACAGGAAGACAAACAGAGGTTGCACATACCTGAAGGCAAGTTAACTGGACAGGATATACAGCAAGATACTTGGCAAGATGTAGGACTGAACCGTAGCTAACAGGCAAACTTGCATTGCTGAGGCAACACAGCAAGGAACAGACAATACAAACACAAGAGCAAACATGTATTGCTAAAGCCAGTTCTGGGGGGGGGGGGGGGTTGGCTCTTAATATAGCTGTTCCCAGGGCTCCCAGCTGGTGTTCATCAGGAGGTTGAGTGCTCCAGCAGGGCCTGGGACTGATCCTGCAAATACTAAGATGGCCTTCTGGTTCTAACCATCAGGTGAAGCCCCAGAGCAGCCTGGATTCTAACAAAAGTCCTTCACTCAATGCATGCCATTATCTGGACATGGAGGCTTACATGCATCCAACGCAGGGCATGAAGTACAGCAGTGGAAACTCTGCAGCCCCTCACCTTGCACCCTACATTTCTACATGGTCATTTTTGGTTGTCCAGATAAAGAACTGTGGAAGGGGAAGCTGGGTGTCCTTTGGATATGCTATAAGCCATCAGCCGCTATCTCCTCCTCTCTTTGTCCTTTGGTATTCCCTTTAGCCTTCTCCAGTGCCATTTTTTTTTTTTACCTCAGAGGGGCAGCTGGAATAGTTCTTCCCACACCAGCTGCAATGGGGGTGGGGGTGGGGTCCATGTTTGGAATCCCAGCTCCATGGTCAGAGAATCTTGGAGCTGGGACTCTGAAAACCCTTATTCTGCCCCCCCCCCCCACAAAGCAGGGGGGCTATAGGATTGTGCTAGATAAGCTAACCTGCTCCATAGTAAAACTTGAATTTACAGCCAGACATGCAGTATGTTTGCTGTATATGCATGCTCATCACTATATTGATTATTTGCTATAAGACAACACCAGAGAGGATGCTTCTAGATGAGTGTGTTAATGTGCAATCACACCATCTCATAGGTCAAAACTAGTAATTTACTAGAACTAGGGCTCACAGAGATACAGTGCCCACATTCTTTTTGTTAGTTGGGTTGCTGGTGTCATCACCCACCACCCCCTCCATCCTCAATTTTCCTAGTTCCCTTCCATCTTAGCTGCAATCCTCATGGAGATTAATTACCTCAGCAACAATATATTGTTTCTTTTTATAACACAAAATATTTGGGGGTGACTTGGTCTTGAACAGGCAATTAAGACCCATTACATTTACAAAAGTCCTGCTCTTCTGGAGATGAAAAGTGCTACAATGCATTAGTTTTTATGGATCAGCACTGTAGTCTGAACTGAACTGTCTTTGGGGGCATGTCTATTAGTATTGTCATGATGGGTGCCTACACATCAAAATTTACCATTATACTATTGGTCAAGAAGATATCTTCAGTTTGTAACCCACCCAAACCCCTTTTCTTTTTTCTCGTCAGGAAAAAATCAGTTTAAAAAGAAAAATCAGTTTTTTTAAAAAAAAGTAGGAATAACTGGAAAATGATTTTTGATTGTTAGTTTTGGAATCCTGGCAGTATGAACATATTGTCTACTGATGTAGACAGCAGCCCTGTCCTGTGTAGCTACCTTCTAAGTTTAAAACAACTGCTGGACTGATTTGTGAAAATGCGCTGAAGTGCAATAATGGGTAGTGATCAGCCTGGAGCAGTGGGGCTGTGCCATGAGGTGAAGCTATGAGAGAGGTTGCCATGCGAAGAATACTTGGAAAACATTCAGAGAATAGGCTGGACGACTGAGTGGACAAGATGGCATGTCAAGCAGCTGCACATTTTATTGTCTGTTCAGGAGTAACATGGGTTAATGAGCAAAAACCCAATGCACCAATATATCCTACTTTCCAGGTGGCTTAGTGTTATATCTATGGCAAAGACTAATTTTACACTATAACATAGGAACCACACTAATTTCTACACATGACAGTTCTGTTTGCAGGGTTTAAAAAAAACCCTCTATAATATGGCATTTCTCAACACACAAAACTAAAATAAACAGAGCCAATGTTCATCAGATGGTTAGAGCATTGTAAAAGAATACACCTTTCTGTGGTAGCCCCTGGTTATCAAATGCTCTCAAGAAAGTTTACTTAGTGCCAGCTTTGTACTCTGCAAAGCTGTTTCTCTTCTCCTGGACATTTGGATAGTTTTAATAGTCTGGCATTTCAGGGTTTTTATTGTTTGGTTCACCTCTGTACTGAATTTTTGTCCTTTACCATTGGTGATCTTATAGATGTGTATTTTTTATGTATTTATGTTATTAACAATTGTTGCATCGTATTAGTGGAATGGTGCGACTGACATCCTGCACCAGCAAGGAGTTAGACCCGGTGGCCGCCTTGGCCCCTTCTGACCCTACCATTCTATGAATCTGTTTTACGTTTATTGTGTCATCGAAAATCAATTCAGGACTCCTTTGGGTTGTGTGGAAAAAATACATAAAGATATTAATTTTAGCCCCTTCTCTTGATTTATTCCTTAAGGCACGTGGAGATTGCATCCTTTTAAGCATTAGATGGCACCATTGTCTTCGCGGTTGGAGGCCAATAGTCACCCTCAGACCGCCCTCAGACTATCCTATTGGCGGTTACAGAGGGGAAATTAATTATTCTATGGTAAAAGGATAGCTTCCCAACAGCAGTCCGAGGGAGGACTATATTAGACAACAAGTAAGAATAACTTCTGGTGGCTATCTCATCTTAGGAGGGGCCTCCCAATTTGGAACACTCCCGTCCTCCTTAGACCCTAGCCACATTTGCTTCGATTTTTTTAGGGATAAGCGTTACCCACGAAGCGTGGAACAGCCCATTTGTGACAGGCAATAGGGGCACACGAGTGCTCTTAGGGAAGCTGAAGACAGCAGCGAGCTTGCTGACTTCTCCTCTAACGTGCAGATGAAGAATGCAGTGAGTTACTTCCTTCGCGAGACGTCAGCGGGCATTTCCCGCTAGCGCCCTCTCTTGTTTTTATGATTCTTCGTCGCCGCTGGCAAGTGGTCGCTTCCATCCAATTAGAATCCTCCGGAGGAGGTGGAAGGGCGGCCGCGCCAACGGACGCGCCAGAAACAGCAGTGGCCGTTTGGAGGCCGCCAGGAAGATCTGCTGGCTGCCCCCTCTCCCTTTGTCACTGCTCCCCCGCGCGCCCCCCCGGGGAAGGTGAGCGTGCGCCGCGCCTTCCTCCGCTCGCGCTTGACGGCGCTGCTATTCGTCGCCTGCACCCTCCCCCGGTCACCCCGCGAAAGCTGGGTGGGGGGCAGGCTGGGCGCGCGCTCGGCGGCGCCTCGGCGCTTCTCTCTCACGTGCGCAAGTCTATGCGGGGCCGGGCGCCCATGGATCACATCTGCGGAGGCGGGAGGGGCTGCCACGCCCTTTCCCGCCACCCTTGAAGCTGGGAGCACGAAAGCGGGGTTGGTGGAAGACCTTTTTGAGGACTGTGTTGCTTTGAAGTAGAGACGCATCTCTGCCCGCGAGCGTTTAGAACACACTCCAAACCACCCTTCCCTAACCTGGACTACAGCTCCTATCATCCTCGGCCACCCTAGCTATTGCCTGGGAGGATGGGAGTTGTGGGCTCAAGGTTGGTGGCTTGAGCTCGAAACAAATGCCATTTGTTTTTTTGACATAAGCAGTTTTCCTTATTTTTTCCTCTGTACACATTCAGATTTGAAAATTAAATGTAGAATAGGGGTATCAAACGATACCAATTTTTCCAAGGGAAATACGTGGCTAGTCCCTTACAACCATGTTTCTGGGTGCTCTAGAGCTTGCTTCTCTGTTGCCTCCCCATTCATTTTTCCTTCTTGCGTTGATTATATTGTACACCTGTAGGGCATGGATTACTTTGTTACCTTTTCATATAGAAAAATTGCTATCATTAATAATAAGATACACTCCAAGAAGGAGTACTGGGACAGAACACTGGATTGAATGCAGACTGCACTAGCTGCTTGTGGTAGATGCAATCACAGATGACATAAAATTAGTTACTAGGATATACAAAATTGATAATAGTATTAGGGGGGAAATCATTTTCAGCACTTGCTTATCTAACCTGTCTGTAGAAAAATGGATGCTCTGTGGTTTTCAGAAGTTGCTCTAATATTCCATCTCATTTCCTTAAACCTCTGTCTTCCAGTAGGAATACAGATCAGACAAGATGTCTAATCCTAAAGATACTACTTCAAGTGACTGCAGTGAATCTCAGAACACAGACTGTAATGCCAGAAAAATGAAGGAGCCTGAAGACAGCAATGGTGGAGACATGCCCAACCTCTGTTCACCTGATATTCCACCTTGTATGTGCAATTATGATTGAATGCAGGAAACATCCAGTGTCATTTGTACTTGGGGGAAAATAGCACACCTCAGTAATTGCTATTGTTTTTATTTACTAAACGCATGTCTTACTTTCCAGTGCAAAAAGCAGTGTCAAACTGACTTACATACAAATACAGCAATCCATAACTAAGAAGAAAAAATAAAGTTAGCATGAACCAGATGCAGCACAATATAAATAAAAATAGCATGAAAAGAACATCTGAAAACAAAATATGCAAAACATCCACAATACACAGGACTGCACTCATCCCTTCATGACCTAGAATGAAAAAGCAGCCCATGGCAACTGAGACATAGCTAAGTTCCAAGTGTCTGGGAAACCATAACTTTGCCGGATGTCAAAAAGATGAGTGTTGGTACCAGGCAGGCTTTCCTATTTCCACAAACAGGTATCATAGAAAAGTCCCATTCCTAAAGTATTCCCTCAAGCATCTCTCTGAGTGAGCACAAAGAGAAGTGTCTTTTGCCAGTTCTGGAAATGATTAGTGTTGGAAAGATCAGAACATTCTTTCATAATTACTTTCAATCTGAAGTAGATTGTTAAATTATAGAGGTGTTTCAAATATAAATCTTAGAAATAGTGCAGCAGAGAATTTAGATTGCAATAATTGATGGTATGATGGTATGTAAGGTCCCTGAAGCAGAGACTTGGTTTTTGTTGTTGTATGTACATCATTTTGTGGAATGGTGTGTGTTGAAAAGCAGCTTAAATTTAGATTTGTAAACTGCAAAGCCTGGAACATAAGAGCAATCCAGTCTGGACCAGGCCAAAGACCTGTCCAGACCAGCATCATGGTTGCAGAGTGAGCCACCAGTTGTCCACTGATAGCCCACAAGCAGGACATGAGTGCAATAGCATCCTCCTGTTATGTTTCTGGAAGCTGGTGTACAGAAGCAATGCACCAAGTACAGATCAGAACATTTGCTTTACTATTGATCTTTGGACCAATCCCACACTATCAAACCATACACTTCAGAACTACTTACTCTTGAGTGCAAAAAAAAAAAAAGTTTATAAAAATGAGGTAGATAAAAATGAGTTTTAATTGGATTTTAAAAAATTTAAATTGGATTTTTAAAAAAAATGCTAAAATCTATCTAAAAATAGTTTTCTGTTTAAGATACATTATAGTCCAAAGGTTATTCATCATGAAGTATACATTTTTAATTAAGCATGAAGCTGTATATTTGTGCAATTTTTAAATTTGTTGGTAAATGAATTCCATCAATTCACAATGCCATACTCTCCAGAGGTTTCTTTAAGATTACTGGGCAATTTTTCTATCTAGAAGATATTATCACAGATGCTTGGTTTTATGGTTCTTAAAGCTGTGAATTTGTGTCTGCAGAGATCACAAATATTGCTCTCCTTCAGAGCAAAAATGCTATAAAATATACAGAGTTGAGTTGAGAAAAAGATCTTAATCCCATTGTTCTGTTGCAAATCTTTGTAAACTGAATCAACCCCTTACCTAAGTTTCAAAAAATTCAAGGAATACAAGATTGTTGGGATTGGAATAGATCTGCTCAAGAACCTATGTGTGAGAAGGGAGGGGCAGTAAAAATGAAAGTGAAACCTTTTGAGCAGAATATGCTGCTAGTCTTTGGAACTTTTTGTGTATAGCTGAGGAATATCATACTATCCTTTCCCTGGAGGAGAAAACCTATAATGGCAGAAGGCCATAAAAAAGACCCAATTTGGGAATATTTTAATACAGTTTCTGTACCTATAGGTAAGGCAGGCATGATTGCAAATGAGGTAGAAAACCATGATGTAAATCTACTCTTCATGACTAGTGATTTCATTCAAATCCACCCTGCTTGAGTTGTAGCAAGACTCATGTAGAGAGGGTGGCACATTCCTTTTTGTAAATTATCATGATGGAAATATTTGCAAATTATTATTAATACTCCATTCTCCTGGTTCTTTTTTAAACACTTAGAACAACAGTGTTTTAATTAAGGCCTACACAATTTATGACTTACTAGGCCAACCAGTCCAATAGGATAGAATTATTCTTGTTTTTACAGCTTCTCTACAACTGCATAAAAGGGACATCATAGGTATGTGGCTGCTGAGCTGTGATTGGGTGCTAAAATTACCATTTTCCTTTCTTACATAAATACTCTTGTTACCTTCAGTGCGTAAAGTAAGTGCCATTCTGTTTCTGTTTTGTTCAGCCAGCCCTCTCCAATCTCTTTCTATGTCAGAACTCATAGAAACAGCCAATGAAGTTTCAAAAATGACCATAGCACATGAAATTGTAGTAAATCATGACTTCAAACTTCAAGAGACCAATTTCTCATCAAACAGGTATATTTTATTAATTTCCCTATGTGCCAAACATTTTCCAGTTAATTCTACAAATGTATATTTGGAAAAAAGGCAGCATCGAACAAAGCTATTTTGTTTGCTTTAGCTCCTTTGTAACTGATATTGAGAAGCACCCTCCTTTTCAGCTTTAACTGAATATGTCAGAGCGTATAGAAAGTAGTGTGCATAACTGCTCAAAGCTAAACCAAATGGGTTCAATTATCATGCTTTTCTTACCCTTTAATTTGCAGGATAGCATGGACTAATACTTCCCATTAATAGTCCTTACAGGCAAACAGTATCTAAACCCACTCCTGCAGTATTGTGGTGTTTTAAGAATAAAACAGATGATGCCTAAATACATATTTGCCTAACATGCAGTGAAATGTGTAGTGTTCTGTAAAAATAGTGTGCAATGTTTGTACACAAGTTTGCCTTGCGTAAAGAAATACATGTCAGAACAAACATTTTCTGTAAAGTGTTCCTAATCCAGTTTTATAATCTGCTGCTTAATTACTTTACTCAGGATGGGTAGAAATTTACCGGGGGGGGGGGGGACTCTGAGCCCAAGGTAGTATTAAAGTGTCTGTATAAACAGATCATTTCATCCCTCTTAGTTTCAAAAAGCTAATAAAGTAAGTTATTCATAACAGAGAAAATGCAAATAGGCTTGGAGAATAAACACCTAAACTCTGCTTTTCAAATTCTAGAAGGAAAAATGTTAACAGTGACTCTTTTTGGCTCCCTAATAGTTTGAAAAGCAGAGTGAAAGAGACACTGCACAAAGTGTTTTGGGACAGTCTGCGAGAACAGCTGTCCAAAATGCCACCAGATTATTCCCAAGTTGTCAAACTACTTCAAGAAATCAAAGAGGTGAGTATCAAAGGTTTACTCATGCCTTAGAGCAGCTGTTTGCAACCTGGTACTCTTCAGATGTATTTGACTGCAACTTTCATTATTCCCAGCCGCCACAGTAATTGGCCTTTGTGATAAGCAAACAGTTAATTTGCATGAGGCTGTACTTGGGACCAGAAAGAAAGTGTTACAAATCTGAGTGTCTATTAACTTACTGAGGGGTTTGCTTGTTTTTAATGGAATATGATTCCTTCTCTGCAGGAATCTCACTGCCTCACAATACACACATTTGTAACGACCATTTACTCATAATAAATAACAATTCCAGGTATGTAACTTGCCAGATATACCAGTCAAGTTTGTATTTGACACAAATCAATATGAAATTCAACAGTCAAAATGTATGTTTTCTTATTTGTCATCCACTTTAGTCAAACTTGTCACATAGTAAGGGCATAGTCAATTGTTCAGTTCTTTCTTCTTAGCCAGGTGTGAAATCAAATTAGCCTGGGGAATTGAAGATTAACCACTCCCCTTCACCTTTGAATTTATGACAATAATTGAAGGTCTTACATAGTTCCACTATGTTGTAGAAACTGTTTGTACAAATGGGAACACTTTATTCTACAGATCCTGCTCTCCCTGCTTCTCCCCCGGCAAACTCATTTGCGAAGGCAGATTGAAGAAACGCTGGATATGGAGTTGATAAAACAAGAGGCTGAACATGGGGCTTTGGACATCCCCAACCTTACCACATACATCTTGGGTACAATGGCAATCTTATGTGCACCTGTTAGAGATGAAGAAGTGCAGGGTCTACGAGTTATTGCAGACCCTGTTCATCTGCTCAGGTGGGCACCATTGGCTTGGATAAGGCTAATTCTAAAAAAGTAATGTATATTTTATTAAAATTATGTTAATGCAAGCTCCATAATCTTGCTACCATAGATGTGCATTATTCCTGTCACTTGAGCTCCTTGGGATTTTGGTTGTACTTCTCAGTTAAGTGTGCATGAAGGAAGGTGTAGAAATATTTTTATTTATCATTTTCTTAAGCATTATAAAGATAAATAAGCATTGACGTTCAGATGATTGTCCTTATTACTATAAAACATGGGCAAGATCTGGTTCTGTCATAACTCTAAACTATACATTTAGCACTATATGCAGGAGCAGCAGTGAAATTTGGACTTGCTTCCCTCTCCAGCACAGCTATTAAAGTGGAGACATGTGCTTCCAATTTTAAACTAGACAATGTTTCTCATCATGTCTGAATTAGAGGAACTTTGGTTAGTTCAAGCAGCCAGTAACATAAACTGCTTGTTTGAACAAACTATAGTATAAACTAACCAGAATTCCCCTGCAGTTTGTACATGATAAGAAATCTTAGTTGGTTGAAAAAAGGAAGCCAAAATCTCCCATACTGGACAAGGAGCAGGGAGTGCTTAAGTCTAAAAATTGCAGCTTGTAGTGTACATCATAAAACTATGGGTTTAGTGTTACATTTGAAAAGAGACATTACTGAAAAGACCAAAATACAAGCTATTTAAATTCTCTAATACAAGACATGACCATTAAACACACACAGTAATTCCTCACTTTTTTGGCTGAAGGGCAGAGCTGAGCAATGAAACAGTTCCTAGATCAAGCTGGTTTTCTAAAGGCAAGTTTGTGGTGCAAAATTTGCATAATTTATTACGTTGACAACAGTATTTAGCTTCATGGTTTATTTGGTAAGATAAATGGTGAAATGATAGGCAATTAGGTACTGTCGGACTGAAAAAAAGAAAGAAATGGGCCCTGTTTTTCTGTACATCTACACTGCAGAGCACCAAGTATATACAGCGTGCGTGTGCACACGCACACACAGACAGCATATACAACATATAGCTCTCATTCATGCGTATTCAAAAATAGAATACAGTTTATTTTTCTTTGCAGTGGTGTATAACAAGGTAGTACCATTCTACAAGGAAACTTAGTGGTACCTCTAGCTCCTCTCCCTGTGAATCTGTGTAAAAACACTTGGCTGACCAAAATTGGTCATCTGACCATTTTGAAGGGCAGGAGGAGCACTGATGTGTGGAGGGTTACGGGCAGTTACATTGGATGATGTCCTAGATAACCTTTCAGTGCATAAGTGCTTTGGCACAGCACTGTGCCTTATTTACTGCTGAGTAAATTTCCTTAAGTATTTAGATTCTAAGATTGCTCCAGTACATCTAGGTCAGTGGTGGCGAACCTATGGCACGCGTGCCACAGCAGACACACAGAGCCCTCTGTCGGCACGTGAGCCAAGTTGCCCCAGCATCGCCCCAGCAGCCAAGCATCAAATAACAGTGCACACAGGGGCCATGCGCATGCTCAGAAAGGTGTAGTGGCGTCAAGCAATGATGTCACGAGTCGTGACTCATTAGCCGCAACTTGTCCAAGCTTTCGCAAGGCCAGTCCGTGTACTGCCAAGGATATATTTGCTTGAACTGGCTGTGAGTTTTAATACATTTGGTTGTATTAACACAAGGTTTTAGCTTTGAGTTTTCTTATGAAAAATTGAAATTTAATATCTAAGATTTAGCAGAGGTGTTCTAATTAAGAGACTGCGATTCTTTTAATCTTGTGCTGTCCCCCTGGTTTGACAAATTATCAGCATGCATACAACAGCAAAGATCACTTTAATTGTGCAAAAGCACGCCAAATGCAAACTTTTACCTTTCAATAAAAAGCTGTTTGTATCATTGAAAACTCTGTTATTGTGCTTTTCTTTTAAGACAAAATATGTTAATGTGTGAGTTGTTTTTTCTAAACTAAAACCTCAGTATTCAGGTTTTATTGCAGTGTTTATCGCACTTTGCAATAAATGGGTTTTGGGTTGCAGTTTGGGCATTCGGTCTCTAAAAGGTTTGCCATCACTGATCTAGATGGATCAGCACCATCCTTTAGCTGAGTTGCTTCTGTTAATGTTGCACTCATTCTTTGATGAATAACATATTAGAACATTAAACAAGGGGGGTTGTTTTTCTTTTTGCCTAGCCCTTTCATGGGTCCTTAAAAAGCAGTTAAATGGAGTTAAATCTGTTACAGCAGGAAATTACATGAATGCTATTAAAATATGGCTAATTTAATACTCTCAATGTTATCATTGCTAGAATGATGGTTTAACTGATAATTGAGTTTGTTTTTGTTGCCTGTGGTAGAGAGCTGTTCCGAGTTCTGGACTTAATGAAAATGGATATGGTAAATTTTACCATACAAAGCCTTCGACCCCATCTCCAGGAGCACTCTGTCCAGTACGAGAGGAACAAATTTCAGGAGCTCCTGAACAAACTACCAGGTGGGTAGTGAAAAGCATAGTAAAAGAAGTTTACTAGAGTTTTGTTGGGGTTAACTCACACCATGAGTAAGCCATATGTGCATGTGTATGCATGCTCACACGCACAATTACAAGCATTTAAATAGCTGCTACAGTCCTGCTGTGATGGGGAGCTGAAAGGATGCTCTGGATGGGTATGCTCTTCCAACATGCCTCATCAGTTTTGAGGGCAGTGTAGCCAAGGTAATGCCAGTTTCAAACTATAATCATAAGCAAACTGGCAAACTTATTCGTGATTAGTAAAACTATAGAAGATATAATGTGAATAGCTTTCGCCACACCAGTAAGAGTTTAAGTTAAGGGAAGAACAGAGAGTACATTTTATACACACAGGAATTGGTTTTGTCTCCAAACCTCTATTTCTCTGATCTTTAGGCAGCCTAGCTTGCACAACAGAGTGGCTGCGCAAGGCAGCAGCTGAACTGTCAAATTTTGATTTGCTACCTTCTTCATCTACCTCTGAAAGCAGTGGCTCACACACTCCCTCCTCCCACATGGCTGCCAGAGAATCACTGATTCATAGTCCTACAGCTGTGCTAAACCAAGCATACATGGATTTGCTGCACTGGGAGCCTGGAAAAGAAGACTATCCTGAGGTAAGTGGCATCTTTCTCATGAGTTTGAAGATATGACCATTGCAGAAACAAAAACACAAGTGCCCTCAGAACTGTTGCTTTGATTCCTTCTGCAGAACTAAAAATGAAATGACCCATTTCCTTTCCATTTCCTCTTTCTTGCCACCCACACCCTTTGGCAATAAGAAACTTGCCAGCATAGCTTTAGCATATTTTCATTTACTCTGCCAACTCAAGTAATTGCAGCTCAAGCATTAGAAATTCCTACACAGGAGCAGAGAAATTTATACTGTTCTTTCTTTGTAGACCCTGCTGATGGACAAAGCCCGTTTACATGCCCTCCAGGTGAAAGTAAATCACCTAGCTGTAATTGCTGCAGTCTTACTAGTGAGCAGCAGTACATGTGGAAGTAATATATTCAGCTTGCCAGGATATGGTGATAGGCTGAAGCGGGTAACAAAAGCCCTTCTGGAAGGACTTCCTGATGCAAGGTATAAGCTTCTGGTTTTCTGAAAGCAGGCAAAACTTTAATCCAGTTCAGTCTTATGTAGTTTGAGACAATGGCTTGTAATCCAAATACAAGCTAAAGGTCTAGCAGGAGAGGCAAACAGGAACCAGGACCAGAATTATCTAACTCCTCCTTCCTCCATTCTATTTATGATCAACTAGTGACCAGCTTGGGGATGTGGGTGGCTTAGTGGTTTCAACTGCTGTGCTACTAGGCTTGTCGATCAAAAAGTTGACAGTTCAAATCTGTGCAACAGGGTGAACAACCCCCCCCCCGCTCTTTCCCAGCTCCTGCCAACCTAGGAGTTAAAACGCATGAAAATGTGAGTAGATAAATAAGTACCACTTTGCTGGGAAGATAACAGCATTCTGTGTGCATGGCACTTAGTCAAGCTGACCACATGACCATGGAAACTCTGTGGACCAACGCTGGCTACCTCAGCTAAGAAACAGAGATGAGTCAGACACTACTGGACTTAATGTCATGGGGTAACCTTTACCTTAGTGACTAGCTACTGCAGTCCCTCTATGCAGATCACTTCCTTATCATAAAATTAAGAGGGGAAGTCATGTCCACTTTAGTTGGGACAGCTACAGATTGAACAGTGTGATTATATAAGGGGCAGACAGCAAAGACAGAAGATGAACAGTAGTACAGTGCAAGCCAAAATAGGGGTACAGTTCTCTGAAGTGAAGGTGGAAAATTTATGAATAATGTTATTTCTCAGTCCTACCCCAAAAACAGGCAAGTAGAGAATTTCTTCCTAGTTAAGAGTCAGTGGGTAGAGTGACAATGCCCTCATCTATGAATGACTTAGGTTAGAAGATGCTTTACTGGATATCAGCAATCAAATACACCAGGAAGTAAACAGAATCCTCCTCCAGTTGGGGTACCCTGCTCTTAGCACTGACAAAAGTGCTTCACTTAAAGGTCAGCTGAGGAGCCTTGCAGATAAAGACAATGCACTGCGGCTTCTAATTGGTGAGTCAATATTTGCATATGTTTAATGTGGCTTTATGCTTGGCTATGAAAAATGAGTGTGTGTACAAGCATGAATTTCAGTGTCACTGTGTGAATCATGAATAGAAATGTGAAAGTCCAGGGGGAAAAAACCACCCTGATATATTAGGGATTTTTTTCCCTGAAGCCTTTTTTTCCTGGAAAAATGTAAACTAAAGAATTATGGAATATTTTCTTTTGGAATGATGAATAAACTGTTACAGACCAGGTGTTCCTATATCTACACACCCAAAATGTTTTCCAAAAACTATGTAATACATGTCTATGTGAAACTATGTACATTATTGGATCAGTATAATTCTTGTGCATGGAGGACAAAGCAAATCCTAGGTTGTAAATTGAGACTACAGTTCTCACTTACGAGAGAAAAACACATTTCTGCCTGTAGGGAGCATTACCATTGTCACAAGAGAAGGAAGTAGGTTTCTGTTTCTTCTTTGCTCATGGGCTTCCCTCTTGTTGGTATAGCAGCTCTATTTCTGTCCTCTTGACTAGGCCTCAAAAGATCCAAAGAACAGAGCAACAAGAAGGAGCTGAAAATATATTTATTTGAAAGATAAAGTTTAAATTATCTAAATTCAGAAAACTGCACCATATTTTAATTTCATGAGTTTCTCTTTATAACTCTGATGTAAATCATAATTCACACAGGTGTTTTCTTGATCTCCCCCCCTCGGCCAACAATAGTTTAGTGTTTTACTGGCAAGCTAGCCACGAAACCAATCCCCCTGCAAAATGGTGAGACCAATATCTAGTGTATGGAAGTTTTGCTCATTAAAAATGCAGTTTGCAAATACTGTCAAATGATAGTTGGACGACAAACCATAATCATGTATCATGTAAGAAGTGTCCTGCAGACATCAGAAAATACTTTGTGAATATAAGTGAGGGTGACCATACTTATGAAAGAACAAGTAGCTTTCCTGATGTTCTCATTCCAGATGTGCTGTTTTTGCACTTTTTGTATCAGCATCATAATCACAAAGAATTTCCCAACAGGAACAACAACTTCAAATGAACAAATACTGAAGATAATCACATCCAGAAAATAGTAGTAGGGTTGGGCTCAGCCCTTTCGGAACCCACCCCTCTAGCATCCGTGGACTTGATTCTTGTGCTTGATCCAGTTCTGCAAAGCAAGCTGAGTCAAGAGGAAGTCCACAAAACACACAGACTGCCAAGTGTGCAACTGGCAACCTTCCCCATTAGGAGTGCCTACAGGAAGCAGAAGGATGCAGTGAATGGGCGTACCAGGTACCATTCCTGGAAACCAACTTTCTTCCCTGTTTGCTGCTGGTGGTGGCAGATGTGGGTGCAGAAAGGGGGCACTGCAAGTTTGTGGTAACCAATCTTCTTCCTCATCAACTGCTGCTGGTTGTGCAGTATGTGGGGTTTTATTCCTGGTGCGTGCATGCAAATAGGGATTTTTTGAGGTGGAACACTCAATGAAGGAATGTATCTTGTAGTTTTACAGATGGAGGGCCAAATATGAGGGGAAAAGGATCACAAATTGTGTGATATAATTATAGCTCACCCAGTTTTATTACAGAAGTATTGAATCAGGAGAATAGTACATAAGCTGTCAGTGGTAAAACATGTACCTTAACATGGTAAGGGGGTTGAGAGTGTCAGAGAAGCCAAGAGCAATGCCACCAGGTGGCTAGACTACTCTCCAGGCAGGATCACCCTAGGTAAAATTGGCAAAGCTCATGCACCAGACTAAGATGCATCTAACTCTTCAGGAGGAATGGACACATCAGCAGATTAGAATGGACACTGGTAAAGATGATGGGAGCAGAGAAACTTCTGAAGGACAGCTAATCAGCAGCAGTGGTATTTGAAACTGCCACTGGTGGAGAATCTTTCATAGACAATGGCAGTGATGCTTAAGCCAACTTTGGTTAGTAAAGCACAGCAGAAGGCAATTATAAACCACTTCTGAATTTTCTTATTTTGAAAACCTTATGATGACAGAGTTAAGCTGAAAAAGATCACTAATGGAAACTAGTGTTAAACTAGTGTTAAAATAACTAGTGTTAAAATAACCTGAATAACATTCCTGAGGGATTTAAAGTCCACATAAGGAACAGATTTGCATCCTTAAACTCAGTTGACCATGAGTCAGAAGAACTGTGTGGCTGAAACCAGAGACGATAAGGAAAAATGCCAGTTCCTGTAGCAGAGAGAGAGAGAGCGAGCGAGAGAGAGAGCACAAGTGAGTGAGCAAGCACGCATGCATGCCTAGATGGATGATGGAAGAAGAAATACATTTGCTGCCAGGGGCAGGCAAGAAGCAAAAGCAAAGGGTGACAAAATAGGGTCAGAATCCAGAATGTAACTTTTCAGCAACCGTCATGTAGAGACAAAAGCAAATGTTACAATGGCCAGTGCAAAGGAACAGAAGAGAACAGCAAAATATGAAAACTGAGAGACTTCTTCCAGAAGATCCAAGAAATCAAAGGGATTTGATTAGGAATGCTGAAAGACAAATGGAGACATCCTATCTGAACAGGATTAAAAAAAGAAGGTAGAAGCAATATAGACAAGAAGCAATATACCTTGTAGACAAGGTACCACCAACAGAATTATTCCAAGCCACAAATTCTGAATCAGTCCAAATCGTAATTATGCCAGGAAATATGGAAAAGAAAGCAATGGCCCACAGACTGGAAATGTTCAATATAAATTCTAATCCTCAAGAAAGGAGATGCAAAAGAGTGTAGCAATCATAGGACTATTTCCCCTAACTGTAACCCAAGCAAACTGATGTTCAAGGTCTTGTAACATCTGTAAAAGGTGCTAATATTGCTTTTGTTTACTTTTTCCAAACATTTGTTTTTTCTCTCAAAGAAAATAGAAAAAGGCTTTTTTTTCACTTGACTTCAAAATTTCCAGAAATGTTGCATCTCTAATTCTTCATCGTGGCCTCTGTGCATCACACATACGGGTACTGCGCCTGCACAGTGCCTTTGGCCAGAAGATTGATAGCTAACGGTTTTTGGCGGGAAGCTCTGCTCCCCCTCCCCCTTGTGGCCTATAAAGAGTGGAGCGTCCGCCATTTTGTTCAGTCTTTGCGACCACCATTCACTGTGCCTCGTGCCGCTTTCGACTTTCGCTTTGGCTATTCTTGGTTCTCTCCTTATATATTGCCCTTATACTACTTTCCCCTTACTTCGTTTCCTGCTTCTGCGTAGTTTTTCTCTTGTTATTTCTTCTTCGATCTATCAAAAAAAAAAAAAAAAACCCCCCCAAAAATATATACTTACCCTCTGCACTATCTCTCTTCTTTTTCTTCTTTTCTTCTGCGATGGCGCAGCGAGCGGCTTTCCGCAAATGTGCGGACTGCAGGTCAAAAATGGCACCTACTGACCCGCACAACCTATGCCTCCTCTACCTTGGAGAGGGGCATAGGATGGATAAGTGCGTTCATTGCCTAGCCTTCTCAAAGCAGGCTAGGAAGAACCGCGAGAACCAGCTTCGGAGGCTCCTTTGGGATAGGGCTCTGACGCAATCAGACCCGCTCGTCTCCAACCCAAAACCTGGCTCCGCTTTTGTGGCTTCACCCTCACACCCTTCGGATGAAGGTGCGTCCGCTTCGGTGGCCCCCTCTGCTTCACCAAAAAAGAGGCATGAGAAGTGGAAGCATGCCGAAGAGAAGCCGGCAGGCCATAAGAAGGCCAGAAAGGAGAAGGCCTCTAAGCTTCCAAAGAAGGCTAAGTCCATGGACCATTCCCGACATCGGGACTTGGAGCCGACGGGACCCTCAGTACCGGTGGCGGTTACGATACCGACCCCACCCGAACCGATCCTTCAGGAGGCCATGTGGGTTACCCCTCAGGGTCTCCCCGACGTGCGGTCGACCTCCCGCCTGCACCCCTTCCAACTTTACGGGGGTCTATTTCGGATGGGGAAATCCAGGACTCCCCTCCTAGAGCAAGGTCACCGACACCGATGCCTGCGGTGACATTGGAGACAGAAGCTGGCCTGTCCCCACCAGGGAATTGGAGGAGCCGCTCAGTAGAACAACGCCCGGAGAGTTGGCGTCGTCCCTACTACCAACCTTGGGGAGACCCGCTCTCTGTGGGGTACTACCCTGCTCCCAAGGCGCGATCCTCACCTCGATCCCTGCAAAGCGGAAGCAGCCGCTCCTTCTCGCCGGCGGAGTCATCATCTTCTGGCCCACCATACTACAGTGCTGATTCGGATGACTCTGAAGTAGACTCAACCTCCCTGGATGTCGTGCTGACATCCCAGGATCCTGCGTCACCCGATGAGTCACACGTCTCCTTCGCGGAGCTGATGTCGAGGCTTGTCCAGTCCCTGGACATCAACGCTGCCCAGCACCCGGGACCGTTGACAGACAAGTTTTACGATGTCCGCGGGGAGCAATCGACCTCCATCGTTCTGCTGCTTATAACTACCCTGCGGCAGGCGATGACACAGCTCTGGGACCTACCTTCACATCCTCAGCCGACGTCCAGGAGATATGAGTCTATGTACAGGGTCCGGGAAGAAGACATCCCCTTCCTGCTAAAGCACCCGAAACCAAACTCGGCGGTTGTCGAATCCTCGCAAGGCAGACAACGTCACCTCCACCCTCCCAGACCACCAGGGTGACCTTGCGAAGGTCCTAATCAAAGAAGCCATGCAGGTCGCGGTGCAGTAGTTGTCCACGGCACGTCACCACGTGGACACTGACTCCTGGGCCTTGGTCGGTGCCGTTTCCCTCCGGAGACACGCATGGCTTCGGAATTGTAATTTCCCGGAGGAAACCAAGCGGCGAATAGAAGACATGCCTTTTGATGGTTCCGGGCTCTTCCATTCATGTACCGACCACAAACTCAAGAAACTGCATGAGTCAAGAATGACGGCGCGCGGGACGGAGATCCAGTCACACAACAGACGTAAGTGGTCCTGGAATCGGCCATCCTACAGGCAGTCATACCAGCAGAGACAGCTGC